TAATGGGGGACATGACCCTGTGACAGACAGGCACTCACTCCATCACACACAGGGGAGTGAGTGAGTGCAGAAGAGTCAGTCAGTGGAGTGAGTCAGTGAGAGTCCCAGTCCGGCTATGGCTATGGTGATGACGGTGGTGGTGAAGGTATTGGGGCAATACCAACAAACAAACAGGAAAGGGGGGCCGGGATGGCAACAAAGAGGAGAGGGGCATTCAGCGCAGTGTCACAGAAAGCACCCATCCAAAAGGGCACCCTCTGTCGGTCTGTCTATCTGTCTCTGAGAGAGAGAGAGGGAGATGGGTGGAAAAGGCGGAATTAGGGAGAATACGGGGAGTGGCCGAGAATTCAGGACAATCAATCTAAGTGACTGAGTGTCCATTATCCCCTGCCTGCCAGTAGAACATCCCGATGATTTCGCATCCATTACGGCGATTCCAGCACCCCACCCCCACTGCCACCCCCCTCCCTGCAGCAGCAGCAGCAGCATCCATTAATGGTGGATGCAGCCATGCCCGCGCAACGTGCGCCATAGCGGGGGGGAGGAGGGACGAGGAATTCGAACGAAGGCGGGGACAGAGGGAGGGGGTAGTAAATGCCGAGCAAGTGAGAGGCGAATCAGGGCAGACGTCATAAAGAGCAAGCAAGCGAGGGAGGGAGCGAGGGAGGGGAGTGTCGGAAAGCGTGTGGGTGGGGGTGGGGTTGGGGTTGGGGTTGCTGAGCAGGGGGAGGGTGCATTTGTGCCCGCTTGTCTTGTCCTTTGGCAACGTGGTGGTGATCTGCTTCTGCTTCTGCTGTTACTGCTCCTCTTCCTCCTCATCAGCAGGCAGGCAGACAGGTAGGTAGGTAGGTAGGACAACGGTGGGTTGCGTTGGGAACGGTGCCATCCCTTGGTGGGTTCCACCCTTCCTTCCTTCCTTCCTTCCCTCCATCCAGCCATCCATTCATTCATTCATCCCCACTCAGCTCGCCGATTTCCCGTTTCCTGCGATTGATCCTTGTGGGGTGGGATTTAGCCTGGCTGTGTCGGGATTTTGCGTAGCTTCCGGGTGGTGACGCGTGCAAGCCTCCCAGCCCAAAGCTTGTGCTGCGTCCGCCCCTCGTGTCATTTGATGGGAAAGTGAGTGTGTGTGTGTGTGGGTGAACGTATGTGTGTGTGTGTGGGTGAACGTATGTGTGTGTGTCGATGCTCTACTGGGCTGTGTGAAACTGGATGCGAGAGAGAGAAAGAGAGAGACTAGGTGAAGGTGAGGGCGAGGTATCTTTTTTGAGTTCGTGGGTAGATTGCCAGATTGGCGGATTGTGGGTGTACTGCGTCTTGCTAACGGTGGATGTTCTAGCCTCTACGACGTAACTTGAGCGCTAGTTGTTCGTTTGCTTTTGTTTTGTTCGTTTGTCTTGTTATGAAACTCTGCTCCTCCTTCATTCTCGAACAGAGTGCCGTTGCTAGGTTTTGAGGGGTTTCTTACATGTTTGGTGCGGGCATCACAGGCTTTTTGGAGTTTTAGCTTGCAGAGTATATCTGCTGTTTAGTTCTTGTGTGGAGTAGAGTCGTTTGTTTGTGTTACTTTCATCTTTGGGGCTTCTCTAGGCCCCGAAAGAGGATTGATTTTGAGAAGTATAGATGGTTATGAGAGACGTTGTTTGGCAGTGTTGGGTTTGAATCTTCTTTAATCCGTTTGCGATTCTCGCTTCGGATTGTCTGTGCGCAACGTTGAGCCCTTTGCGGGATGCACATTTTGGCGAGTGTGTCTAAAATGGCTTCAATGGGATCGAGATAGGCGAGCAGGTGATCCGCCTTGAAGTCTGCGTTTCTCTTTTCTTGGACGGCAACCGTTCATGAATCTATCGGAATTCTTTTTGCCGTCTTCCCTGGAGTCACGGCTGGTCCGGGACGAGCAGCAGCCGCAGAAGCAGTTTCCGCCTCTTGTGAGAATGCCACCTCGCTCTGCCGCTAAGGATGTAATATCTACCCCCGACGAAGCTGCGGATGTTATGGCGCCTACAATGATGGATCACTTGCATCTTACTCGCTCTCACCACGTCCAGACCAGCGTCCAGCTAGACAGAATCCATTCCCGTGACAAGGATCGGCGAGAGGTCTTGCCTCGGCCGTCCGACTTAACTTTTTATGTGGGGCGCAACCGGGTGCCATTCACGGTCTCTGCTGACACTTTGAAGCATTCTACCTACTTCGCGTCTCTACTCGAGAAGCAACGCGTTCCGGACCCCATCGTCCTTGACTGTGACGAGGGCACATTCCAGAACATGATCCTTATTCTGAGGTATGGCAGTTTCGAAGCCCTACCAAAAATGTCTGAAAGTGAGCTTTTTAGGCTCAAGAGGGAACTGGAGTGCTACGGCATCGACGTTCCCGAGTCTCGGAAGCCTAATTCTCCGACTTCAACCTCGTCCTCTCCACACAGGCATTCTGCGCTTATGTCTCAATCCTCACTGGGAGCTCGACAGTATTCACAACCGGGGACGCCCAAGCATGCTCAGCATCGTGGCGCAATCCACCACTCACCTTCATCAAGTGGAGATTTTCCCGATCTTCCTGAAGAACTTAAGAACCCCTCCAAATTATTTTTGGTCGCGCGGATGGACGATATCGAGAAGGGAATCAGGTGTGAGTGCACGGGAAAGGATTTGCACACTTACTGGGCCCTGAGTTTTCACCACAGGCACACGTTCTGTACGGGATGTGGCAGGTGTCCCGTTTCTTTCTCCCCTCGTCATTTGGCCGAGATGTACATGGCAGCCGCTATGTACTACTCAAATGAAAATTTCTCTAATAAGCAGAGATGGTCCGTGGGTTGTGACTCTACATGCTCCTTGAAGCTTTTGAATGCGAAGCTTCATTGTGTATGCCCATGTGCTAGAACGGACAATTGTCTTGACAACGAGAACTCCAACATCTCCTTGTCGAAGTTGCCTGCTTGGGCAGTAAGCACTTACTACTCTCATGCGTTCTGCACACGGTGTGGCCAAGCGGCCGATGAGCGGACCTTGATTTATATTCTTTTAACACACCGCTATGGTGGGGTATCGAAGCATTCGAAACTCAGGCGCGAACACACAGCTGCAGCCTCTGAAGGAGCTGTTGGTCAGGATTTGCGGGTGCACGCGAGTAGTCCGGGGTCGGAAATTTTACGACATTCAAGAGGAAACCGGTCTATGTGAATTTTCTGCTTCCCCAATTTTGGTTTCCAATCTTGCATCTTTACCACCTCCGGCAAGTCAGCAGTGAACTACATCAGAGGCACCACTCATATTAAAGGGGTTCGTATGGGATCCATCTTTCACTCTTCGCATCTCGAAGTCAACGATCTACCTTTTCAGTTCTGCTTGTTATGTTTGTCTTGTACAGTAGTATCTTTGTCATGTTTTTGACATAGATTGGATAACAGTTCAGATGCAGAGAATAGCTAGATCAGCTATGGACTGGTGCCTTGATAGTGTTCACATTTTTCTTTTTACTCTTAAACCACCACGCTGAGCAAATGCCTCAAGTGTGTGGCTGTACCATAAATTAGTGTCAAGTAGTGTCTTACAACTAAGGCTGTTCATCTTGGCAATTTTCCTTGATAAAAATTCAAAAAGTGCTTTCGAAGTGTTTTGCCCTCTTTGCGAAGCTCCTTATCTTGATTTAGTAAAAAAGAACTCTTTTTTTGAATTAGCGTTACGGTTCATGATCAGCTTATGAAGATATTCTTACAGAATATGGAAGCTTTTGACAGTACGCATATTTAAGATCAACTTCCTCCTCTCAAATATGCAGTGCAACATGTCAAATTCTAGGTATTTGGTACATAAATACAGTCTGGGGTCAGTTTCTCCATCGCCCTCTCCTCCATGTTTCCTAAGATGACGGCACTCGTGCCCACGAACACACTTCAATCTGCCTTTATCAACGTGCAAGAAGCCTTGTGATCCATGAGCTGATATCAGTTCCGACGTGGCATGTTTGTTGGCACACCTCATCTATGAAACTCAAATTTCCAAATCAGATGGCCATTCAGATCCGCTTGACCGGGCAGTTTAGAGTTTGTGTTCACAGCTGCAAAAGTTAAGCGTTTCAGAAGCAGCTGCGTCAGCTGTTGGATCGTGCAAATGAGCCTCGGAACGAGTTATGTTTTTGTATTTGTTTAGTGATCAATATGTCTGCCTCAATGCGACAACAGTGCGGTCACCTTCCATTCTCGATTTGTTGAGAATCGTCCGGGTTTCGTGAAACGATATGCACACAAGGAAACATTCCCTGTCGACATACTCGTTGTGAATGCTTTAGCACCAGATTCCACCTTCTGATGTCACGCACGCGATCATTTCATGCGAGCTACTGACGGAACGAGAAAACTTATCAATTGGGCTCCATCGGGTCTTGTTATGGTCCCGGGCGAGGCAATTATTGAAACTTCCATGGAGCGGAAGAGCCACTCACGAAGAGCTTCTCACCGCTGTGTGGAGTCTGCAGGTGACTTTCTCAAAGGTGTATGCCAAGCTCGTAAAGCACAACAGATGTAGAGGTAGCAGGGAACTCGGGGAGGGGGCAGCGGGCGGGCAGCTACACACATTAGGACACTTTGAATCTATCGTACACTCTCAACATCTAAACAAAAATTTACGTTTGCAATTTCAGCAGCAGAACTAAAAATGTTCAAAGAATCTCTTAATCGTACGCATTGAGTCGAGTCGAAAACTGACTGAGGTTTTACCAATAGAGTTTGTTGGTTTCAACAACATTAACTTGTCCTATCAAGTCCTCGAAACTAGGATTTTTTCCATTAGGAACAGAGGCTTTCTCAGTTGGGTGGTGACAACCTCGTCAAGAACACTGAGCCATCTCTGTTAACATGATGAACGAGTGTTACACATCATGGCACCAGTTCTTCAAGGACCCAATTGAGGTCATCCATCGGAAACTGAGGAGGAACATCTGTTTCATTCATTCGTCTCAGAGCCTGCGTGAAGTGGGGTTTTCCATAAAGCGGTGCTTCGAACCGATCTTAAACACCAGGTCTTGAGCCCCTTGAAGTGTTTTTAGAGGGGTATACATTAACGAACTACACATCGGCATCACTAACGATTGCGCTTGTGCACCATGGTGGATTCTGTGGCACAGGAGCTTGTTGACTTCCTGAATGCGTCTCCAACTCCCTTCCATGCCGTCCGTACGTTTCTAGTCTTCTCACCGACTCCATTATTTCTGTTACTTGGTCCCACAGATTTTTGGATACTGAGGTCTTACTGTTGCAGAATCAGAATGTCGAGTCCTCTCAGTCGCTACTAGCCGCTGGATTGATCAGTCTCATTTTTCAGAACGATTGCCGGTTTGTAGATTTTCTTAGGGTTTACAAGGTTTTGGGAGGGGGTGTGAAAATGAGACGTTACGAGCTTTCCAATTTATACAACCCCTGTACCAGATGTCTTGCTTTAATTATTGAGATGAGGATCTAGGCACCAGGTGTTTGGATGCAGATCGCCAAGATTTTGCGTCCAGATTATGCTATTGAAACTTGAAGTTAGTGAACGTGCTACTAATTTAATTTAATTTGATTTAATTTACGTCTCGTTAATATCGGGATGCTGTTTAGTTTCTGGCGTCGAAGTCTTCGTGTTTCAAGATGACTGTGGTTGATGTCTGGTAGTTTTCCTGAATCGATCACAATTCAGTGCTGATTGTGTGATTTGCTACTTTGGTTTACTCAAATGACGCACAATTTCTTTTTAAATTCCCCCCAGATTGTTCTATGCACCTGCATCCGAGGATACCCGAAGTCAAGTCACGAGTTATTTGAATTTGAAATAAAACGCTTACAATTATGATTAATTAAATAAAATTTCAAACTTCTAACTATCATGTTCGGATTTATTGGATTAGGAACAATACAAATGTTGGAACTGTGTAGTATTACTCTTGTTGTCTTGTGGTGATGTGGTGATGTGTTGCACGTTCTAAATCTCGACTGGACTTAAGTAATGCATTGTTGTCCATTTATGTTGCTTTCGAGGTCTATTTTACTGTTGTCTAAAAACTACGATTGTTCTTGTTTGTTCAGAGGAATCAAAAAACAGACTACTGAAAGCAGGCTATCAGCAACTGTCTGAAAGAGCGTCATGGACTTTGGAAGCTGGAGGGAGATATTTCTTTACAAGAAATTACTCGACCATAGTTGCTTTCGCAGTTGGCAAAAAGCAAGTTCTGTTCATTATTTTCTTATTCCTTGTGTCTTCTTTTAATGAGTGGGTGGCTCTGGATTAATGCCGATGAATTTCAGGCTATTCAGTTTCATATTGCAAGTACTTCAAATTAAAGTTTGAAGCTTGCAGCCTTTTATTGGGATAACCATTATTTATCATGTCATTAGTGTCCAGAATAATGTAAAGTATTTTCACTCATAATCGTATCAAAATTATAAAACAGTAAACTACTAAGTTTCCTTCTCTTTTTCTTTTTTCTTCTTTTATTTATTTTAAAATTTGGTTATTTTTGTTATTGGATTTGAACGTTTTCTAGCTTTCGAAGTTTGTTTTTCTTCCTACCTTTTAATTGTTCCTTATGTTGTAGTTGTCCTTATTTTTATTGATATTAAACTACTTCCCTTTAGCTTGATAACAATATCAATCTTCTTTGTCGCCGTTTGTTTCTGTGCAGGTATGTTCCTGGTAATGGATTCTTGATTATTGGTGCACATACGGACAGTCCCTGCCCAAAACTAAAGCCTACAACGAAGGTAATCGCCTCATTATGTTCTACTAAATGGGAGATTTTCGGACTTGTATTACTTTCTTTGGGGTCTACGTGATTCAACGTAACTTATGCCTTAGCCTATTCCCGTGTTATATGCTTAGGAATTGCTAATAGTTACTTTGTCTTGTTCATTGCGCAGGTCATCAAGAGTGGCTTTTTGGAGGTTGGTGTAAGCACCTATGGAGGCGGCTTATGGCATACTTGGTTTGACCGAGATCTGACGGTTGCTGGGCGAGTGGTGCTCAAGCGAAAAAATGGAGAGAAATCTTCTTACTCGCACGAGCTTGTAAGAGTTGAGCAGCCGATCATGCGGATTCCTACACTTGCCATTCATCTGGACAGGTAATTCACATTTTACGGTTTTATTTTTCTCGTTCTGATGTATACAGGTAAAGGTGGCTTCAGTAGACATTGCACATATGTGATGGTATGAGTTGAAGTAGTGCATGTCTCTAAACACTTTCTATTCCCGATGTCTCCAGCATTACAGCTTAGGATCCTTACTGTGGTAATGGCCATCTTTATTTTGGTTTGATAATCTTATGATTTTAATAATGTATATTGGAGCCCTTTCTTCACTGCCAAAGAAATATTACTCCACTGATTGGTCTTATTATGGTGCTAGCGGTGATGGCTCTCTTTGATTGTATGATGTTTGCACCAGAAAGATGTCTTCGGGGCATGTATTTCTCATTAAACATTTTACTGATGATTGATCGTGCTTGCAGAGGTGTCAATGATGGGTTCAAAGTTAACACGCAGACACATTTAGCACCTGTCCTAGCTTCAATAATTAAAGTAAGATCTGCTTCTGCACAAGTTTTAAGTCTCGCATATTTTGGAATCGACACAGTAATTTACTCACGTCGCAACAAGGCCCTGAATTCCTTGATCATGTATCGGGAAGTGTTCAAAATTCTCAAACATAGTATTAGCGGTATTCTAGGAAAAGTAGAAAAGTGAGGTCCTAATGGTGTTACGTGAAATATGACAGGCGGAAACAAACAAGCCCGCCGGGTCCAATAGTACGGAAGAGGACACTTCACCCTCTAAATGCAATGGAAATCAATCAGATGATCATCATCCACTTCTTCTACAGGTACTTCGTGTCTCAATCTTAAGTGATAAGCGCATCAAATCGATTTTCGTTCTCCACATGTTTTAGAGTGAAGAAGTGTTCCTCATCTATTTAATGTAGGGTTCGATTTACCTTGAGTTGAAGTCCATGGTTGTCTTGACTGCTGATCACTGTGATGTGATCCTGCTTCACTAAAGTAATACAATTACGACCAGTTTTCCGACTTCCGTCGTTGTAATTGTTGGCTTCGTGTTGCCTAACCTATCCCTCAATTGGTTGCCTTTCAGTTACTTGCTAACGAGCTTGCATGCAAACCTGATGAAATTGTTGACTTCGATATTCAAGTTTGTGACACGCAACCTAGCATTATTGGTGGAGCTCTGAAAGAATTCATATTTTCAGGCAGACTCGACAATCTCTGTTCGTCTTTTTGCTCTTTGAAGGTAAGATAAATCCTAATGTTGAGTTGTCAACGAGAAGATTCTCGGTACTCAAAATACGATATGTAATCTTACAGTGGCTTAAACTGAACGATCTGATTTCATATTGGCCGTTGCACTTGCTCACTACAGTTAGCTATAGGTCAACCCCTCATATAATTTGATACATATTCTCAATCCAAGTACAAAATTGTTTATTTTAAGCGATTATAGTCGTTTATTTATTTATTGCGAGGATTAGGATTCTTTTTTACCCTAATGTGATGCTGGAAAATGATTATGTGATCGACGGAGTATCCTAATTATGAATTCTGCTAATATTCTCCAAATGTTGTGTTGTATGTGGGGTTTTAGGCATTGATCGACTCATCATCAGATTTGGCCGAAGAAGTAGGAATACGCATGGTCGCTTTGTTCGATCATGAAGAAGTAGGTTCTCAATCCGCTCAGGGTGCCGGGTCTCCAGTTCTGGTTGATGCTTTGAGACGTATCACAAGCCATTTTGGGGAATCATCTGCTGAGGTATCGCCATTTTGAACACATTAGCTGTACTTCAGGTTGTAACAAGCTCTGGTTCTGTGAATGGTGGGAAGTTCTTTAAAGTAATTTTTTGGAAGTCCAAAACTATTTTCAGAGTCGAATCAGCGAATCTTTGATGCCCTCGGGTGAGGGCGTGCGAGCGGCGTGATTGTACGAAACTGTACTACAAGATAGTCTTGTAATCTCAATGGTTTTGTACATCTTTGTGGATACTAGCATATTGGATCTGACAAACGTACTAGTCCAAATTATTTTTCAGATTGTAGTATTAGGTAGTCCTAGAAAGAAAGGGCTGTCAGGACCTTCAGTAAGATGAGCCGAGATCACTTACGACCTGTTACTTTCTGCGCACCTCAGGGGCTTTTAGAGAGAGCAATTCAGAAGAGCTTTTTGGTTTCTGCAGACATGGCGCATTGTTTGCATCCCAATTACCCGGTGAGCTGCTAGCTTAGCCTCTTGCTGCGAAGATTGGATTGATGATAGCTTCGTTTTCAAGTATACATCTTTTTGGTGTGGTTGTGCTGTCTAGAACTAAACGAAGTTATAGTGTTTCGATAGTTAGTGGATGGAGAGCTGCATCAATTAGTGGAATGAGATTTCACTTGCCCATATAATAACTAGGTGATTGTTTATGAATTACTTTTGGAAATAATCCAGGAAAAGCATGAGGAGAACCATCAGCCAAAGATGCACAGAGGGCTTGTGATTAAAGACAATGCTAACCAGCGCTACGCAACGAATGCCATAACTTCTTTCATCTTCCGAGAGATAGCGAAGTTGCGCAATCTTCCTACACAGGTTAGATCTGATTACTGGGTCTGCGTTTCATCTGATAATTTGTACGATCATCTTATACATTTGCTTTACGATGAACAGATCTCGCATGTTTGTTATCTTAGCTGTGGTTTCGGAAGAGCATCTGGTGTATTTTTTGTGAGAATTTTTGCACTACTTTAGAAACTCATTTTGTTGGTTTTATGTTTTGAAACAGAACTTTGTGGTGCGAAATGATGTGGCATGTGGGTCCACTATTGGACCTATCTTGGCTAGTGGAATTGGCATTCGTACTGTTGATGTTGGGGCACCCCAGTTGTCGATGCATAGCATCAGAGAGATGTGCGGAGTTGATGATGTTGGATATTCATACAATCACTTCAAAGCTTTTTTCGAAGATTTTTCAGCTTTGGACGCGCAACTTGCTGTTGACGAACCTTAAGACACATTCTGGATATAGTGATGGAAATAGAGGATCTACCCTATTGTTAGCAGATGTGTCAACAGGTGCATATCCAAGTGACTGGGTATTTAGAGAGAACCTATTACCTCATGACGTTTGTTAAATTGCTATCATTACACATGACCGTGAACGAGTATGCAGGCCAGCATGTATGTTGAGAGATTCTCGGGAGTGGTGTAGTTGGTCAGAGAATCCGAAATTTCAAGATTGCTATTCCAGGTGTCCGTCTTAATGACAGAGCCTGATCTGCTGGTTGTCACATCGCGTACCAAAAAAAGATCAGAGAGGATGGGTGGTCTTCTTTGCTGAATTACTATTTCCGTCCGACACGCACTGAATTCATGAAACAAATTTGAGCAATTCGATAATCCAAATTTCTGTAGTTTACAACTTATAAAACACGAAAAGCACCGCATCAGTAACTATTCATGCTGCAAAGCATCGCAGTTGATGGCAATTGGAGCACCGCATCTTCTATTACCAGCTCCCATTGTGCCTATGCTCCTATTTCTTTTCAACACAATGTAACCAGATTGACATCAAGAACAGTTGGGGTTTCCAGGAAAATCATTCGTCTCTCCGAATGCCACCATCAATTTCTCATCGAAACCTATGCATCGTCGATTGAGATAACTTGAATCGCAATAGGAGGGATCCAGTTTTGCCAAGACAATGGCAGTACGTCACACGATTGTCTGCAATGTTGAAACTTTATTTCCAGGGCAATCTATAGGTACTTTTTGTTCTCGTGTGTATGGAGATTTGTCGTATTACATACTGAATTAATACACGATATTTTTAATACCAAAAAATGTTGCCCGCTAAACAATTCAACGCAACAACCTATCGTCAAAAAGGATGAAATTTTAGGATTGTCGTATGTGAGTAGTCGGGAAAAGGTGGATCCCAGTGCACACGCTTCAGTGTTCTCTTTATTTCATTCTTTCTTAAAGCCATCGACGAAAGGGGAGTTGCTACTTGTGAGGTAGCGCAAGTTTAGTGATGTTGCTGCTGATTCCGTCAATGATAAAAACAGGCGGGTCTGACGCACCTAGGATGCGTTCAGCCAACCCCATCGGAAGTCTGGAGGAGCATGGACGAGAGGAGCACAGGCTCTCCAAGAGGGCCCTGGACTCTACCGTCACGGTCTCAAGTTTCTAGCTGTAGAGGCAACAGGTGGCCTCGCTTTCAAAGTAGTTTTGGCACTTGAGTGTTTGTCGTGTTCCCGGAAGGTGGCCCTCCCTCCGTCCTAGTACCCTATGCTTACTCATTCTTTAAGCGGGTCCCACTGGCACGACAAAAAATCTCACAAATGGTTTGTAGGCTTTATTCTCATATAATGTTGTTTACTGAAATGCCACCTTAGCCCCATCTCTGGCCACCGTCCCCCAAGCGCCCCATTTCATCCTCGAAGCTCCCCGCCTTTGAAGCTGAATTGTCTCAACAATCCTGTCCCCTGTCCCGTCGTGAGCATATTTCATGCCTGTCCCTTGATCCATTGTATTCGGCTTTCTCGTGAGTCCAGTTGCCGCTGCTCCTTGATGGCAGACTTAGCTGGGGGTGGGGTGCTTTAAGTGAGAATTATACTATCCTTCTTGGGAACAGTAAAGTGGGTTAGCTCTGTTGGTGATAAGAGGTTCAGATCGTTGTGGGCGTGACGCTGCGTCGAGATGGCGTCCATGAACGAGGTATGTTGTCGACTTGACCACTGAATGTCTGGTTTGGGTAACACTTTGATGTTGCGGGTTCGTGCGTGTTCGTGTGTTTTCTGTGTTTGTGACACGCCGTCGCTTCAGTGTTTTAGACGAGGACCTTCGTTTTAGTGATTGCAGCTACAAAGCTTTGCTGCGTTGAACATGATTGTCTTACTACGAGAGGATGAAATTATGTTATTTGAATCTTGTCTGTATGTCAGGTTTTGGGATTATGGGCTTTTTTGCACTTCTTGGCGGTAAAATGAGATGGTGTTCGAACTCGGGAAGAAAGTAAAGTGGGCGTTGTGTTCTTTCTTCCTGCGTTCCCTGTATTATTATTGTAGAGGTTTCATTGACATCTAGAATGAATCGCTCAGGTTATGAACAAGAACAATGATCCTGAATGGATCACTGAGAATGGTGATGGGAAGGGTAAAAAGGGAAAGGGAGGTGGCGGAGGAGGTGGTGGTGGTGAAAAGAACAACAATAATAACAAGGGCGAGCAGAAAGACAACAAACCCAAGGCACCCTCAGTGCCTGTAAGTAATGTTACTCGCGTCCATCTCTTGATTCTTCACTTATTAGACTCGGTCTGTGGAAAGCATTGGTGATATTGTGAGGTCAATTGTAGTGTGGGTGTTCTCCACTTCTGTTGGTAGACATTTTTTATCTACTTACCTTATGAATTCGCGGCTATTCAACGGTTAACGCATTTTGGATGAATCACTGTCCCTCTGCTGGGTTGCAGAAATATGAGTACAAAGTGAAGATGTGCTGCCCCAAGTGCGAGGAGAAGGTTCTGGAGGAAGCCCGATATGCCCCTGGTACTATTATTTTCTTTCGCCATCCTCAATTTCACTCTTGATAGTTGGTGCAGATAATGTGTACGAGAAGAATGAATATTCGCACTTTTTATACAGAGCTTGTTCTGTGAGTGTTATTCCGTCTGTCTTTCTGTCATCGCAAACGAATTGAGGTAGTCTTTCATCGAGAAATTTATCAAGCTTTCCGCTTCGACATTCTATTTACGTACACTAAAGGACTCTTTTTCACGGTGCAGGTGTGCAATCAGTGAGCATTGACCGTGGCCACAGCAAAGTTACTGTCGTAGGATATATCGATCCTGCGTCTTTGTTAAAGAAATTCAAGAAGAACGTAGACAAGAAGGCGGCCAATTGGCCTGTGGAAGCTAAGAAAGAATCAGGTGGTGGTGGTGAAGGGAAAGCCAAACCTAAAGAAGGTGGTGGAGGAGGAGGAGGCGGCGGCGGTGGTGGCGGTAACAACAACAACCAGAACAAGAAAGAAGGAGGTGGGGGTAATGGGGGTGGTGAAGGGAAGGCCAAGGCTAAAGAAGGTGGTGGTGGTGGTGGAGGCAATGACAATCAGAATAAGAACGAAGGAGGTGGAGGCAAAGGTGGTGGAGGTGGAGGCGGAGGCAACAATAATCAGAATAAGAAAGAAGGAGGCGGAGGTAATGGGGGTGGTGAAGGGAAGGCCAAGGCTAAAGAAGGAGGTGGAGGTGGAGGTGGCGGTGGCAACAACAACCAAAACAAGAGTGAGGGAGGCGGAGGTGGAGGTGGAGGCGAAGGAAAGGCCAAGGGTAAAGAAGGAGGTGGTGGTGGAGGTGGCAACGACAATCAGAATAAGAACGAAGGAGGCGGAGGTAAAGGTGGCGGCGAAGCGAAGGCTAAAGGTGGTGGCGGAGGTGGTGGAGGTGGCAACAATCACCAGAATCACATCCAGAACAACGACAGGAAAATGGAATATCCAGCATCTTTCCAGCCACACAGCTATGACTATAGAGGATTTCAACCTACGATGGATCCCAGAACAATGTATGCGGATCCTAGGAGCTCATATGGAGGAATGGACCCTCGAATGTCGAACGGAGGAATGGACCCACGAATGTCGAACGGAGGAATGGACCCACGAATGTCGAACGGAGGAATGGACCCTCGAATGTCGTACGGAGGAATGGACCCTCGAGTCCCATATGGAGGAATGGATCCTCGAGTTCCATACGGAGGAATGGACCCACGGGTTGCATATGGAGGAGGTGGATACCACTACCGCTCTGCTGAACCTGAAAGAGGTTATCAGCCCAAAGACAATTACTTTAGTGATTACAGACCCAGCCAGTCTTACCCTGCTAATTTCCGCAATCACGACTACAACAATCAACCCATCACAAACCCACACTACATGAAGAGCATTCAGTATTGAGCAACGATTCTGATTTTGCGGAACATTGTCGCATAAATATTACGGGGTGGCCTCCGTGTTGCGAATGGTCTGATTGGGAGGCAGTTGTCTTTTAAAGAGACTTGGTCGACTCTGCATGGAGTTGGGTGGGTGTGATTTACCAGTGTTGTTTCTGCAGGTATGCCTGATTTAAAAGCACTGTATATATATGACAGGGTGCTCTTAGTTGTTGCGGAGAGCCAGCTTCTATAGAGCGGAGATGGGTAGTTTTGACACAAGTCTAGCATGTGTCAGAAAGTACGATATTGGTGTGTTCGTGTTACTATGTCTTATTATATGCATAGAGTTGTGGATTCCATGAATGTGAATCCTACTCGATACAGCGTGTGTGAAAAGACGCAGATGCAAAGAAGAGCAATTCTTTCTTTAAATTGGAAGTGGGATCAAAGATTGATCAACGAAGTTGAATGTTCTCAAAGAGCATTGTGTGTGTGTGTGTGTGTGTGTGTGTGTGTTTGTGTGTTTGTTTGTTTGTTTGTTTGTTTTTTTATGTATGTTCGCTTTGAATTGGATTCTGTCGCGCAAGTGAACTTATTTTAGCGTTGAAAGTTTCAACTTTTATGCTGCGGCGACGGTTCTTGATTCAGCATAATCTATTTTTGGTGGTGGCGGTGCTAAATTTGTTTCTTGGATTCAGAATCGAAGCGTTCTGTGCTGAACCTACAGCTACGTCTCTGACCTGTGTTCCTTTCACTGTGTCACCACGACAATTGCGAGGGCAGATGACCGCGTCAAGGAGCTCTGCAATTCCAGATTCATTTATTATTGATGCGAAACCGTGTACAGAGCGGCAGATAACGCGGCAATCGTCCTTCGAGGTGGAACAGAATCCCGGAAAAAGTGTTGGACATGGGCATTACTTGGAGTGTTCCCGCACATTGTACTCGCCTCTCTATGCAATTCTGCTTTTCTGTTTCACTTGTACTTGCAACACGAGCTTAGTTCCGGACTCAACTAGACCTTACTGTGGGTCACTGTAGCAGTATGATTCCTCGTATTTTTTATTTATTTTTATTTTTTTTTACTGTGGCGTAATCGAAAAGAGTATGGCACGTCAACTGTAATTCTTCAAGTCAACTCTGAGCATAGTCGGCGAGGAGAATGATGTTTCACGTTTCAGGAGGTTAAAACTTCTTCTTATATGGGACTAACGAATGGGAGAAAGCATTGTGAAGTGACCTACATTTATCCTCTTTCACGTGATTTACTGCGCATCCGTCAAGTTCTCTTCAAATGGTCGTCTCTGACAGATTAGGTGATCCTGACCGAAATGCACGGCAAAATGAAACTTAGGGTACACTTGCACTGCCATCTGTTAGCCTTCTGTGTGGTCTACTGGGTGTAATCTTTCATCAGGTATTTATTAATGAGTAAAACTTCAGGACCATGGGAATCGGTTGTTAAGCTGCTAGCACGGAATTTTTCAGATTGCAACTGCGGCTTACACTTGCTCTGTGTGAAGCCCTGCAGAATAGAATCCATGGATATGGATGCATGTGTTGAAGCACGGAGATCGAGGCATCTTTCCAGGACCCCAATTGATTGTCGTGACATGGTGAAATGGGTGTGTGTAGAAACTGGAGGTGGATTTCTGTAGAGGCAGAATTTCGTGTTTGGATAGTGAATAGAGGTGATTCTAGGGAAATGCTCATGAATTAGAAAATGGACATAGATCACATCTGCTTCGTAGGTCCGACAGGACCGACATAGCCTTCAGCAACGTCTGCTCCACCTGCTGATCTTGGTTGAGTTAATTTCTGCTGCTAAGCTAAAGTTCATTGTAACCGATAGTTTATATGCACACAACTCTCGAGAACAACCTCGGCTTACTGCGCAATATCAACCTTTTTTTATAAAGAAAAACATAGTGTTAATTATTCTGCTATCTTTTGAAGTTTTCATGACACTAGTATTATTACAGGATTTAATTTTTGTCATTTCTTCTGTCATTTTGATTCCAACACTAAATGGTTCTTTGTTGCTTGTCTAGAAAACTTAGAATACAAATTGAAGTGTGAAAGACTGAGAAGCCGTCTGAGATTGTAATACTGAACATTCCCCACAGTCAGCTATGATCAAAGCTAAGATTAAGATAAAACTAATAGACATACAATGAGATTTGTCTTCTAGAAAGGTTTAACATGATATTTTTTTGACGGTTCTCGTCATCGAAATTGTCTACCACATAGATACTTCCCCTCTCAAAACTAGATGCAAATTTTGTAAATTCAATTCTACTCACCACTTTCGAAGGAATTGCAATGGAAACCACAAGAACTCCTTCTGCTTTCTTGCTGATTTCACGTTCGACAGCATCTACATTATCTGCTCCTCCTGCTGACGATCACATGGACTTGGAATGTGCATTGTTGGATGAACCAAACCAATAATCGAAGAACAGATGCAGCAGCCGTTTCTAGAACTGAAGTCTTCACACCAATTCTCGGCCTGCTGCTGCATGTATGCAGAATGCGGAGCAACGTTACTGTCGTGAGCATCAGGTTTTGTTGGCTGTGAATGCCATTTCTCCTTGTCCAATTGCTGTACTCTCTTTTGTGTATTTCTTCTAGTCTCCATCCTTCTTGGATGCAATTTTCACTGATACTAAGTATTCCAAACATCTGAACTTGCAACCCCGATGTGCTTGAAATAATTATGGTTAGGGCTAGAAGCTCAATATTGCAATGAAATATCATAACTTAGGGTCTTGTGATTCATTTTGTTTGAGTTCTTCATTCAGATTGATGCATTCTCGTTATGTGCATGATTGTTTTCTACAGCCTTGTTTTACAAAGCTGCATACGAAACAGTAGTTGTCTTCGATCTCTGCCAGGTTCCTGGTGTTGGATTGCAGTTACTTTACCTTCTCGAAGCCCTAAAGAAGCACTTATCCTATGTGAGATTTGTCGTCACCTTACGCTGCTGTACGATCGCCTACGTAATTTTAGTTATTCTAATTGAGACTGAATGGGATGCTCTCTTCAGATTATGGAGAGTGCGTGTTTTGAAGTTTGCCTAGATTTTAATATATCTGTATTTGAACGTAGTCGGATGCGTTTTATGTTATGAGGCGTTCCTCCATTTATTTATTTTTTAGGAGTGGATGTGCATATTGTACCATAGTGCTCACATGTCGATTTACTCGGTGATGATTGCAGTCGACTTTAAGAATAGCTACCAACAACCAATGCACGTAGTTGAGGGTTTGGCAGTTTGTTTTAAAATCCCTACTTGCAGAACTTTTGTTTCTTGCAGCTAATGGGTTTTTTAATACTTTGCGGTTTCTCCAGATCGTGACCGTGCTAACACTGTTCATGTTCATGAGAATGCTTCTCTGTACTTAGAGCTTACTTTGTTGTGAGATTATAGATAGACATTAGTTCACAATGACAACAGCGATCACTGGTGTGTTGTATTGTCTTGGTGTATCTAAAGTGTCCTATGGGTTCCTGACGAGGGTATCAAGAAGAGCGAGTGGAGGGATTGGAGTTACGGGTCTACGTCACGAATTAGCCATCTGGTGACTCATAGGTTGTAGGATTCTATACATTGTAGCTTTAGGTGCCCTCGAATTTGATTGTGTATCTTTAGGTTTCAACTTGAATTGCCGGTAGGATGGCTGCTGGTTTCACATTCTTAGTGAAGACTAACATTTAAACTGCTTTTACTTCTTCCTTGAAGGTGATTGACGCTGGCTATCACGTTCGAGAAAAACAGACAAATAAACAAATACTTTTGGAATCATAAGATGCCTTCTGTTAGTGGATAGGTAACCTCATATTCCAGCAATTGGCTGTTGCAGAATTGTAAACTTGTCTTGCTAATTGTCGCTAGGCTTATCACATGGGTTGGCGTGTTTAGTCAGCATCAAGTGGAGCCATGTTGAGAGGTGGAATTGACGTGCAAACGACCAGAAGGACCTTGGGGTAAAGCTGATATTCTCCCTCGTATTTGTATTCTCACTGTGCTCTGTTATGTGAGCGTCTGCCAGGTGTGTGAAAATCGTTCAACACATGTAGGCGCATGTTTTCCAAGAGAAAAAGTAATTTGATTCTCACCCAAGTGGACAAGGACATAAGTTCTTTATTTTTTCTTTTTGTAATTTAAACTAGTGTTAAAAAGGATCCAATGATTGTGAAGCAAATGAAGAGATGTTTGACTGACCTTTTTATAATTAGAGTTTTTGCGGTCGTAGAGTCTCAATGAGTAACACATCATTGTCTATTTTTTTAAGTAAAGGCGGATTCTTTGCGTTCCATTCATGAAATACTATTTAGGTTGCAAATGTTCCCATGTTTAAAATACGCATTAATTTCGTTGTTCTTATGCCTGTACTATCGTGATTTTCTCAGGAACTCAACAGACGAAGGACAGGACTCGAGAGTCGGCTCTCGAAATAATGAATTTTCTCTAGCTCGTCAGAGTGCTCTATCCCTCAACTCGTTACAATCAGTCGTAGACACAAATTTTGTTTCTCGTTTGATACTCTTGCTTCTTTCAGCTTTTCCAATTCAAACAAAAACTTTTGACGTTTCATGTTGCAAGTTTAATAAGGGGAGTGGGTTCAAATGAATGCTACTAAGTCTGCCACATGTAAAGTGGAGACTGACACAGAAAGCAAGTGCAAAGTGCTGGGTTTCCGATTCATTGTCTGTTCTCAGGATCAGCAATCAATCAACTCTACAAGTCTTTTTGTACATCAATGTATATATACACCCCTAAACTATGAGAGTCAAAATCTTCTTAAAATTGTAGAGGCTGACTGAGGTGAAAGTACCGTATATAATGCACTGAACACTTCTTGCGCTCTTTGACATCCTGGCTCTTGGCTCTGAGACCCTCTTCGTGGAGGTTTACAGTAAAATTGGCTTGAATGATTCACTTCCGACCAGTAGTACCTAATGTTCCTCGAATTTTAAACGTGGAACCTTCACCTTCTTCTGCGACTCCAATTTGGAGATTGCTTACAACTGGTGACACGTGCATGTTCTTCTTAACCTTAAAAAAAATACTGATCATGCGTCGCATAGTGAGCAGTGTGAAGCAAATTTCATACTGGACTCGATTTGATGCGTCAACTGCTAAGTCTCGTTTTCCAATGAACTCAAATTCAGAAGAATTGGAGTCTCCAAGGTGGGCAGACTTCAATCATGGAAATCCAAGCACTGATGTACATTAGCCTTTAGGTGTCCACTTTTCCAAAGTTTTAGTCATTCTCATGCTTTGAAACCCTCCCAAACAGAAGGTATGTGGAGTGATCTATCAAACAGGCATGCCCAAGTATTCACCTTTCCCTAAATTGATGGGAAAGTCCAAGCGGATAATGCGAGAATCTAACCTTTAAACAAAGGGTTAAATCTCCGAAACCACTGCCTCCTCCACTCAAGCGTACGTGGTACAAAAAGAAGCAGGAATCATCAATGTCTGCTGCAACCCTGTTTTTGGGACATAATTGGAGATGTAATGTTGTCCCCCTACTCTCTTTCAGTTTACCCAGCTCCAGTCACTTGTCAAAGCCAATAAATATGAACAAAAACACGTATAAATAAGAGATGATGGTGAAGAAGAAGCAAGACCCAACTCCATATTCCCCTCTCATAAAATGGCATTGGGCCCACAATCATTCATTGCTTCATCACTTATGGAGCTTTTGGGGGGGGGGGGTTGGTTTAGGCTTGGTCCTCCCGACCTCATTCCAAGCCTACCCCTCCCAGGGTTGGAGAGGGATGTGGGAACATGCCGGGTCACATTTTGTATTAGAAGTATGTATTTTGTGAAAAAGTAAAGAGAAAAGTGGGTCGGGATATATGGATGAATAGGTGTAAATGGACGAATGAATAATTCCATCACAGCTCAGGCTCTGCCTTTCGAGGCCAGTTGAGAAAAGCCTTTGCATGTGTTGGTGCCTCCCTCATTGTTCACCTACCTACATACCTACCTACCTACATACCTATCCAATTCGGTGGACCCTGTTCTGGTACCTTTATTTGCTTTTTGTGTGTGTGTCAGAGCTGAGATCTGTTGGTAGTGAAAATCGAGTTATACCACAGTTGAGCATTTTCAAACTTCTATGAGTTACATGAATGTTTATCACCTGCATTGCAGTTTGGGTGTCTGAGCTTTAATAATGAGAAATATATCATACTAGTTGTTCCTCACACTGTTGGAGCCCCATTGCAATAATCAAAATTGGAGGAGTGTGGTGGTCAATCCTTTGCCTATTGGGCATAGTGCCTCTGACCCAAAGCATTTGAAAGCAGGTACATTTTTCCAGTCATTTACTTGTTTATTGAATTTCATTTTTCTTATGAAATATAAATAGTAAAGTGGGTCGAAACCTGCTTACTCTGGTAGGAAGGAGAATGAGGAGGGGGCCATAGCAAAGCCCTCACATGTGCACAGACAAGGACCACAGCCTTTGCTTTCCTTATTTAATGCCACCATGAATGCTGCATCATCTTTCAAGGTTTTGCACATAAGGATGGAGGAAGCATTTTCCAGGATGAGTGTGGTAACTTTGATCTTGGCACAATTCATGGGAAAAGGGGATAAAATGGAGAGTCTCAAATTCGAAAAAGTAAGCCTTACTCAATGCTTTTAATTTCTTTGGGTTGAAATAATTAAAACAAAACAAGTTCTAGGTTGTTGGATTAGAACATTTGGTCCTAATTTAATTGTTTTTCTGAGAACACTTCTGTTTGTGGCATACCCAACGTGCACTAAAAGACCCATTTCTAATGCTTAATAAGATATTATTAGACAGTTCATTTTTCTTTTAATAGTTTTATAGCAAGAAACCTACTTTAAAAAAGAGTCATGGTTCATTAGCCCAATGAAAATTTCTACTTTGTGAAGAAAGTTGTGCTTTGAAAGTCTTGGCTTTTGAAGACAGTATTAAGTGAAAAGAAATCATGACATGAATTAAATCATTTTGATTTTTTTTAATTCATTTTTATTATAGCTTTAAACATGATAACTCATATCCTGATTCTAAAAGTTGTGGATAGTTTTAAAGTATTATTTAAAGTTATTTTTTTGCAATACATGGCACAACTTATCAAATCATAGCAAAAACTATAATTTGTTTTTGTAGATAACACTATCTCATGCTATGTATAAAAAAAATATATCCCACCTTATTTTTTCCTCTTACACCCTTGTAGCTAATTTACATAAGTACAAATCTAATCAAGAAATATTTCTTTATTTTAACTAATTACAAGCTTTAAAAGTTGCCTTCTTATTACCTATTATAAACATAAAGACTCCCCTGGTATGGTTGCTTCTAGTGAATATACTGAAAGTAATGCTTACTAAAATATTAAGTTTTATTTCGTGCTCTACTCTTCTAATTTTCCATTGGAATATTTTGTTTTAAATGCTGAATATAGATAGACCAATCTTATTATGCAATATGAATTTTGTAATTGGGATTTACAAAGCTAAAACCATGCTATATTTTATATGCCAATATTAATTTACTAATTAATATTGGACCTTGAGCAATGTTTATTATTCTATTTCGTTGGTAGAGGAATTTTTGTAAAATGTCTATAAAAGATTTTACAAAATGGTTTTCTAATGTCAATTGATTGAGATGATCTAAGCATTCAAGGTTAAATATAGAACCATTCAAATATAACTTAAGACTTATTTATAAAAGCATTTATTACTTATGAGAATAATATATAAAAATAATATATATTTTTTTAAAATTATTTACATACAATTTTTTTAATTTTTTTTATCTTCTAATGATTGCATATATATATATATATATATATGTATGTATATATGTATGTATGCACACCAAGTAGAATGATGATACATTTATTGATTATTATTCTTCCAAAATAAAATTTTATTTTATAAACTAAGCTTAAGTATATATTTATATTTTAAGTAAAATTTCAAATCATCGACTTTATTATCAATTAAAATATTCTTTACATTGTGATTTTTTTTCAAGAATAAATAATGATCAATACATTTGATGTAATTATTTTATAAATCCCTCTATATTATATTATATGTATTCATTTTGGACTATATACTATTACATTAAATTAAAAAAAATTAATAACATTATAAGTAATTTATTATGAAAATTAAAATTAAAAAACTTTATATAATAATTTATTGGTTAAGATATCTTAAGTTTATATTAATATAGACCCCTTCAATTATACCAAAGTATAAAATTTGATACATCTAAAAACTAATGGGTTCATAAAATATGTATTTATAAATTTTAAAAATAGATATTTTGAAACTATTTTAAATTAAAAATAATATTATATAAAATTTACATTTATATTTTTTTATTTCTTAGTTATATCAAGGTCAAAATGAATTGCAATCATTGTAATTGCAAAATATGTATTATGATTTTTTATACATATCAATATATTGTAATATATATGTTTTTATTTTTTGATAATTTTATCTAGTGTAACAATTACAATTCCAACATTTATCAATAAAAATATTGCTTTCAATCAAAATCCTTAGAATGAAACTTTCTACAAGTTGCACCTATTTCCAAAAAAAATCCTAAATTTATCAATTAATTATGAGCTGTTGAGACATAAATGTCAACCCAATTTATTTTTGTCCAAAACAACCACAACATTTATGCAGGTCCATGATACAATCCTCCCAACTTGTAGCTCCATGAATAGTACTAGCAGTCCTCAACAATTCTTCCAGTGGTATCTTCCTTTTTTGCTTGGTAGCATACTCTCTCCCAACAATAACCCAAAGACACACATCCAAAGAACAAACTCAAAAGAAGAGAAACATCATGTGGAGGCAAAACTCTGAAGGTTGTGAGCACAATAGAAGGTCAGTATGGCAACATGCACAAGAAGGCACACCATTGTGTCATCCGTTCAACAATGCCACCATATAGAAGGAATTTTCAAGCACACATCATTGGGAGTTGGAGATGGGGTTAGTATGTAGGGGAGCTGATGATCTTCAAGGAAGCCATGAAGCTCTGATACACACACACAGGAATCACAGAAGGGGGAAAAATCCAAGCGGAATAAGGGGGGACAAGTGCCCAGGACCGAGTCCTTCGAACCCGGTCGGTGAGTGTATCAACTAGGTTCGGGCGGGGGGGGACCTGTAGGTAGGTAACTTGGTAGGTCGGGCTGACGACCTGACGCCGCCACGGTTTTACAGCCCAAGATCTTACTGCCCGTTCACAGAGACACGGGTACTGGTTACCGCGTCACACGTAGTTTCAAGGAAGGCGGGGCAGTTCCCCTGTTTGTTCTTTGGCGTCGCGAGAACGAGGACGACACTCGGGTCGATTGCAAGGGGAGGAGCGTCCAGCTGATTGCCATCGTCTCGTCGACAAGCGATCGATCGATCGAGCGATGCAACGTCGCTGCAGAGAGTTTCTGTGACGGTGTGTGTGAGTGCAGGAGGCAGATCCGTTGAGTGACGTGATTGGGAATGATCGCGGCCGAAATTGATTGACTAATGCTCTCTGCGTTCGCTTGTGCGATTGAGACGTGACTGAGTGTAGCGCTGCCGTTCCGGAGCTGCAAGGATAGGGAATTGTGTGCTGCGTGTTGGCTGTAGGCGCGGGCTTCCAGGATTTCGCTTGGCATTGCTCTGTGCCGTGCGGGGTTTGAGTGATTTTGTGTCCGTGTTTCGTCGTGTTTACGTTTGCGAAATCGTGTAATGTCTGTAGGACGTTTTGGATGTGCGTTATTTCAGAGAATAGCGGATGTGGCTAGGGTAGAGCTCAGGGAGGACTAACTCCAATCTTACTCTAGTCTGGTATAGAGTGTCTTAATGGAGAGGGCTTTTGCATTGTGCTAGAGGGACGATTATTGGAGTGTCCTGATAATTACTCTGTTTAGAGCCTGTTGAGGGATGTGTTTCCTGGAGGTCCTTCAATCCTGCTGTTTCCGCGTAAGCGCATTAGATATCTTGTCTTAGTTTTTGAATTTTACCTTTTCTCTCCTGAGAATATTATTCTGGTGGTGTTAGAATAGAAGGGAAGTGCAGTTTTAAGGTGTTGATCCCTCGTGTCGACAAGTGCTGGACGAGGCCACATGCATTTCTCATTGTGAAGGCCTACTTTGGTATCAGATCTTTTGTCAGTTGCTTTTCGCACTGCTTGTCGGACTTGCAAAATGTTTCAAGATCTGTGCCACTGCACACTCAAGCAAGGAAGTGGAACTTCTATTAGTCGAGAGGAGGATAGGATGAATGAGATAGCTGGTGATTTGACTCAGTCACAGCATGATACGCTTATCAAGTTCCGGGACATACTTTCAGAGCAATGTCTGCTTAGAAAGCGAGATGATGACTACACGTTGTTACGATTCTTACGTGCCCGCGGTTTTGATATTCCCAAAGCTAAAGCAATGTTTGAGGCCATGCTGGAATGGAGAGCAGAAATTGGTGCTGACACTATCAGAGAGGTATTGGATTCTCACAATCCATTCCTTTCCAATTTAGTGTAGTCGAAACGTAGAGATCATCCTCAAAAAGTAGATTTTATCCATAGCGCAGGCGGCTGGGGCCTGAATTTGAAACTAAAATTCTGTGATTTCTATCATTGCAGACGTTTGATTTTCCAGAGAGGAAAGCTGTACGAGAGCTTTATCCACATTTTCACCACAAAACAGACAAGCTTGGCCGACCTGTGTATATTGAAAGATTAGGCCAGTTGAATTTGGACGAGCTACTCAAGATTACGACTATGGACCGCATGTTGCTGTACCACGTGAAAGAGTGGGAGGTTCTAATAGATTCGAAGTTTCCGGCTTGCTCTAAAGAAGCAGACACCTGTGTTTCGCAGTCGCTTACGATTTTGGATCTTAAAGGAGTGGTACGGTCCTTCTATGTGTCCTTCTGTTGCACACAATTGGAGTTTGTGATTTGTCGGACAACTTTGTTGCTCAGTGATAGACCAATTCATGTACATGTGCCTACTCGTTACTCTGAAGTATTATGTTATTGATCTTAAATTGGACAGTACATAATATGGGTAAGCTCTTAAGTGTTTCGCATTTTATATCTGCTTGCAGGCATGGCTGCATTTGATTATTCTTTTGTATTGTTTGAATTCAGTTACCTGGCCGCTTGTTCATGCAATTTCCATTCCTCGTTGTGTTATCATTCTCTTCCCCTTCATCTGAATAGTTAGTTGCGAAGGAGAATCTCAAACTGTGCAATGTTATGCAACTGCAGACTATGAAGCATATGAGCAAGCAGGTGCGGCACTTCATTCAAAAAATTACCAAGCTTGACCAGGACTACTACCCAGAGTATTTAGGAAAGATGTTCATTGTCAATGCTCCAACTGCGTTTAAGGCAACGTGGGCGATGATCAAGCCTTGGCTGGACAAGAGGACTCAGAAAAAGATTGAACTTCATGGTGGGCACTTTTCATCTAAGTTGCTCGAGTTGGTTGACAGTGAGAATCTCCCGGAGTTTTTAGGAGGTTCATGCAACTGTCTTGGGGGATGTGAGAATTCCGATGCTGGTCCTTGGAATGAAGCTCGTTATTGCTCAGATGCTCTGTATGATGAACCCTGCAAGGCGGCTGTGTAGAGATTAGCGGCCTATCTGGTGCCCCTTTCAGCTCACCTATGTCCTGGATACTCAACCAGCTCTGCTGCGCAAGATATGGCGTAATTTTGTCCTCAAAATGGTACTAATTCTCAATTGATGTAGTCAGACTTTGTGATGGTAGTGAAATGCATACGTTTTCCATAATTGTTGTTTATTCAGATTTAATTTTCAATCATCCATGCCGTTTCTGAATGGCCGCATAATGTAGGAATCCTTTTCTTGTTGAGTCCGTAGATAGAAGTGAGGCAGTTTCTCATCTGGCAGATGAACTTAATGCAGTTACAACATAAACTCTTGTGGAATGCGCTCTAGGCAGGTTGACAACCATTCTTAGTCCGACATACAGGATTGCGAGGAGAGTTACAATCTCATTATCTGACTTTGGATTGAAGAGTTAGATGCACTCTTTCATGATCTGTTAATGTTCGTAGTCTCGGACGTACACTCTCACGGATAGCTAATGATCCCGATGTACATTTCTATGTCGTGACAACAAGAATTGAGTTGTTGTTCTTCAGCATATGCCTATCCTTTCTACAGGAAATGCAAAAAAACTACTTCATAATAAACTTTCACACGGATGTGTCCATTGTTGAGATGCCTGTGCCAACTTCTGTTAGAGTATGTGACAATTTCTATATGAACACATAGCTCTTGGACTGATGCGATAATCAATCGAAATGGTGCACGTGTTCACGACTTCGGTGAACATCTTCCTGAAGGGAAGACTACTTTTCTGAGGATGCCAGGGTCTTCTGAACCAGGGAGAATAAAGCTATGCTTAACTAATAGTTTCACCATCCTCTATTAAGTTCTTTTTTTTACGCGCTAACGTCACCATGTGTGTTCAGCCACAACTATCAAAACTGACGATCAGTGGTTGAGTGAGAAGGGTATACAATGTGAAACTCAGATGTGAAGTCGAGAATGACCTTCCAAGCTGTTGACTTCTTGCAAAATCTTGAATATTTTACATCTCCTGCAAACATATCCGCAGTAGACCATTCGTGTGCCTCCTCACAGTCGAATGTAGAAGTAATGGCTTGTAGTGGATCAGCATCTGACTCTGGCAATGATGACAGTTAATTCTCTCATTGAACAGACCATGTCTTTTGGTGAGGGACACGACGTCTGATGCTACATAGGATACGACTGGTTCTTTGTATGCAACACATTCCGCGCACTGGTTCTTTGTAGGCGCCCCAAGGAGCCAGGAAATTGATTCGTCTTACTCAAGCGCACCGCCGTTGTTATCTGTTGGCTTGCAAGCTCATGGTATATCCGGGGAGAGGAAGCGCATACACTGTCGGGAGAAATTAGTCAGGAGCTCTTCTTACATTCAGGATGTTTGAATCAGGTCCTGCAAACAGCAAGTGCGTTCAATGATGATGCTTTCAAACTTTCTGCACATCCATGCCTAACTTCAGAGAGGGCAACCATACGTTGATCTCATTGCCAGCTCCCAGCGAGTCGACTGGATTCGCTAGAAGTTGATGTCAGGTTGCTCTCTTGCTTCAGCCGATGACATTCCTTCTGCACACTTATTTTAGTTTAGAAAGTTTTCTGATACATTTCTGAGGACGTACAGGAAATGAGGCTGCATACAACCAGGCTGCTACTTGTTAATTTATAGCCAAAAGGTTCCGAAATCTCTTATTCCTTGTCTGGTCATGTGTACCATTTGACAGATGTGGTCAACATGATGTTGGGGGAATCTCAGGAGTTCGTTTACTTGTTCTGATTTATGAACAAATTCAACAGTCGTAACAAATGTTAAAAGGGAGGTCTAATTTTGCATGTTCGTTTTGAGTAGCATATTAAGAACCCTTGACCTTGGTAGTCCCCAAAATTCCCATCACTAAAGAAAAATGATCATGGCTTTTTAAAAGGTACCTGCAAAGCGTCGATGTCCCTGGACGCATCAGCTTGCTTAGAGTCCCTGTGCGTGGGGGTGCATGACTTCTGCTGATGTGCGCGATCTGCTGCTGCAACCAACTCTAAACACTTTCGCTGCAGCTGTACCCTGTCTTCATCAACCTAGGCATGAAACCAAATCCGTAAGGACAGGAGTTTTATTTGGGAAAATGACGGAGGGAGTGTATTAGAAATATAGGTACCTTCGATAGAAGCGAAATCGCATGATCGTACTCCCTCCTCACTTCCAAGTTTCTGTAGTTGACACGACGACATTATTTGAATTAATCCCGACAAGCTTGAAGGAACTTTATCTGGGTTTTGGAAGAGCTATTTGGTTTCCAATATTAATCGTGCTCGGTAATGAGAGAGGACCGGCGAAGAATTGACGCAAGTGAAAGTTTCTAATATTCATGAAGAGAAGAATCTCCCATCCAGCCTCATGCTAATTTCGTCGTTATATGATCATCGAATAATTGAAATCACATTTCATGCACTTGGCGAAGAGGTATTGGTTTTATACAGAACCGTTGTCGAATTCCTTGTCGCAGATATGCTGCTGTTGGTAGACTTACAATTTCATAGCAGAACGACTCTGATCTCCGTTGCTGATATATAACCACCAAACGATGAGTTGTGTACTGCAAATGAAAATATCCAGCTGAAGTTTAAATACTATGACTTACTGTGTTTCTGCCTTCTGTAACTGAGAGAAACAGTCTTTGTAGAGGTTTGCCGTCTTCGAAAGGTCTCCTGTAAGTGAAAAGTTCTTCATTTCCAGGTCATGAATCTTTGCCTGCGTGAATGTATCCCAGAGCACTTTTAGGGGGGAAGTCAGTCAAGATTCTCCTCTGAGAAGGAAGTGATAATCTCAGCCTGAATCCTTGCACAAGATAAAGAATGGCAGCGAAACACCTAAATTCAACGAGTATATAGCTTGAGGATGCAACAGATTTTATTGACCTGGTATAAACGTCCGTAATCTTATGCGGAATTGGATACCAGAATACCATGAGTAGAAATCGTTGCTATGATTTCCGTGGAAAGTAATTGCAAATGACAAAAAGCGATTCATATTTCTGGTCATCAACTAGAGAGATGACTGCACCGTACCTTTGAACCAGCAATATCAGCAGCATTTTGATGAAATTGCATGTCCATAGAATGACTTGACAAGGATGGGGAAGAGGCAACAGGGCGACCTCGTAATCTTTCTTCCGTCTCCTGCGATCAGTCCTACCGTCAATTCTAGTCATCTTGAATTATGTGACAGGCTCTGATCTCTCCATGTTTCAAGCATCTAAGTATGTGACAAAAATGAGCTACTGATAGATCCTGTGTACTATTCTCTAAGCAGTAAAAAATTACTAGACGCAGCCTTTGGTCTCCTTTCGTTGTATGTTTACGTTAAGGGTCTAAAAGAGACTTGTAATATCTGTGGAGAAAATGGCAATCGTTAATAGTGGTTCTCATGAGATCATGACATAAATTCGTCACAATATTCTTTTCATACCTTGGTATTTAGGCTAGCCTGCAGCCTCATAATCTCTTGGTTTTGCGCATCTCTGGTAATCTGTAATGTTTGTACCTGATGACACCGCACTACTAGTCAAGAATGCTGAAAAATGACTGATATCAGCATTTAAGGCTGAGATTAATGTGCTTTATCGATGTGTACTTTGATATAAACTTTCCAACAACTATATTAGGTCCTTATGGGACTTGCTTGGAGTTTAAGACTTGGTCTAACCTGATCCTCCAAAGAAATAAGACGATCACGCATCATTGCAATCTTTGTGCCAGCTTCCTGCACAAATTGTTTGAGGTAACGATCTGATCAATACGGCGTTGCAATTTTCACATAGTTAGTGCTTTTAGTAGAAGGAATAAAATAGTCGACTGTGAAGTTGACAAAGAGGTAGCACAAGGATCAAGGTTCACCTGCAATCAAAATTAGGACACATACCTTGCTCTCCAACTCTAAGTGATGTTCTTGAGCACGCAAGCAGGTAAGCAATTGCTCTAACTCTCGCACTCTTTCATGTTCTTGCTCATATCTTGATGTGATTGCTTCCCTCTCCTGCTTTGAGGACAAACGTACCGTTTCTTACCAAGCTATGGTATCTAAGACGGCAGGGATGAATTCTTACATCAATGTCTCTCATGGATAGAACTACCACGCAGGATCCTTGAGCCCATTTTACAAGGTTTGCATGTTATTGAAGCAACTAAAAGGAACCATTACATTTTAATTATCTTTCTCAGAGATTTTCTCGAGGGTACCTTTTGACTTTCAGCAAACATATCGTTGACGTGCTGCTGCTTTGCCTCCAATGCAGCTAGATCTCTTTTAGCAGCTGAATTCTTTGCCTCCAGATCTGCTGTTGCCTGGATAAAATACGTTGCAGCGTAGACATAATTTCTGAAAGTTAGGTACTAAAATCTAAATCTAAGAACATAACCAGGAAAAATTGCTGTGACACATGTTGGTGAACACAATAATGGTTGGAACGTGGGCATACGGATTGCAGTTATGTGTTCAATCTTCGTCAGCGGAGAGATACACACCCCTTTCATTGCATTGAGTTGACCCATCAATGCAACTTTTTCATTTTGATAGTCATTCAAAAGACCAGATTGTTGAGCAAGCGATCGTGACATCAAGTCTCCTTGCCTCTCCAATGCCTGCATAGTGATCAATTTAATACCTTAGGTTGCAAAAACTGGAGATATATAATAGCTGAGATGAGTTCCATCCCAAGCCTCCAGGCTTATGGTAGAATAGTGAGCAAACAATGATCCTAGTTTCGTATACTTCAAAAAAACAATTAGAGGATTTTGTGAGGACGAAGCAGTGCACGGGTTTACGATCATATCTCTCGATCTCTTAATTTCCATTCCGATCATTTTTAGTTCGGACTCCATGGTTGCTAAGATGAATTGATATTTCATGCCAGTCTTATTTGAAAAGCAAAAACAAGAATACAAAGGCATGAGTCATCAGAATGGTCTTACTTTTAAATCTGAATTGAAACGTAGATTTTCATCATCTAACGTCTTCACTTGAGCTTGTGACCGTTGGAAAGCCTCCTCTAAGCTCTGAACTTGGTAACGCTGACTTTGCAACTGATTGTCACGGTCCACAATTTGCACTCTCAATTGTTGGTTTTCTTCAGATAGATCCCTACACATCTTCATGATTTCCCCTTCTTCCTTCTCCTTTACACACAGCATCTGCAGGTGACCAATGAATGTTAATTCTCTGAAGGAAACAATGCGTTAAGCATCACACTCTTATTATATGAAAACCAACAATCCTTGAAATATTTGTTCCACTAATAAATTTTCGATAATATAGAAAATACTTAAAGATTCCATCTCAAATTGGGGTGCATGTCTACAGGAAAGGACTCAGCAAGGGTTTAGCATTATGCATGACATAGTGCCGAACTTCAAAACTGCAATTCCAAGATTACTATCCACAGGAAAGCCAGCAGGAACATAGAAAAACAGTTCAATTGAATAGTCGAATTTTTGACATTTTAGAATAACTTCAACACCAGGAAGCATTGTTGCTCCTTGGTGAGCTCTAAGACCATATGTTTTAACATGTTTTTCACTACAATCATTTGAATGGTCCCTGACCTGTTCACAGTATTGTAGCTTAGAATTCACATCCCGCAACTCGTTCAGGACATTCTCACGCTCAGCTACAACCTGAAGAATCTCTGTCTTGAGCATCTGCAAAGAACATCCACAACCATGGTATCAATGAAAAGATTACTAAAACATTGTTGTAGTTACAATAACAGAGTGTGATTCAAAGTTGATCCGTTTTCAGATGAAAATAGACGCAATGGCATACTTGGATGTCGGAATTTGATACTTGGAGAAGATCTTTGATTGCATTTAGCTGGGAAGTCTGCCAATCACAAATGAGAATCGTGATTAGGTTTAATTAGATAAATCTTCATAAATGTCATATGTTAAAAACAAATAACAATATTTAAAAAAAAAAAAAAAAAAAAAAAAAACTTTTTTTCAAGTTCTTCTATCCTCAAAATGGTAGACAAGGCAAAGTAAGGTAGAATGTGACATCTGAACGATTTGGGGTCTCTAGTCCAATTCATGTGTTTCTAAGAGCCTAAATTTCCTTTCTCCAAGACACAGATTATTAGCTCAACTGGTAAGATGGGATAGCAGGTGTCGATTAGGTCTCCGTCACAGTTACCCAATTTTATAACATGGCTTTGACAGCTTCCTATATAAAATGTAAAAATTCACAAGTAGATTACTCACCTTAGTGCCTAATCGTTCATCGAGGTTCTTCTTGGTGTCTTCCTCCATGGATAACTGAGACTTCAAGGAAACAATCTGGAGAAGTAATGTTGATATACTGTCACGTTCAACTATCACTTGCAGTGCAGCTCAAACTTTGAGCATCAACATTGAATGGGTTTTTTCTCTCCAAATTCTCTGCGACGTCCTAGACAGGACACTAGAAGTGTTCGAGATACCCTCAGTGCTCAATTAGGAATCAATTTCAAACAAGCAAACAACGAGTCATCCGTTGGTATCTTACCGAGAACGTTCACTAAGCCTAACGAAATTATCAACGTACATCTATAAGTGCAGTGTTTGCACCGGAGAATGTGAACTAGTTCAGATGTAGTAATGTGAGCCGCCACACTGTGGCTCACCAAAACCATACCGCTTCACCTTCTACATTCATGAGTAATGTGTATGGTTAAGGACCTCTGCTTCAGCTTGTTGGATCAGATTCTGCCCCGATTGAAGCCTATGCTCAGCTGTTTGCAGGTTACGCTTCACAAAATGCATTTCAGTTTGGAGTTGCCCGTTTTCGTCGTTCATTTGTATAATTCTCTCTGCTTGTGCGCTCGCCTTCTCAGAGTAGTAGGACATTTAAAGATTAGTAAAATTCCTCTATAGACTTATCACTTTCATTTTGTGCCACGCTTTTCCTTCATTTATTTAGTATATCAATTTAACCTATCCTCATAGATTTTGAGAAGACTATTTTACTGATTTAATTATATTTTTTTTAAAGTTTAGAAAATGCTGATTGCTACCCATTACGCACATATAAAAAGAAAAAAAGAAAAAACTTTCATACTATTTTGCGGAAAACTGCGAGACTTCGAACGTTAGAAAATTCAGTCTACAAGGAATTACAAATCACCTCTATTTGCAGATGGTCGCGCTCCTTGCCTACGGCATCTAGTAACCCGCAGAGATGATTAACCTCTCCCGTCCTCTCTGCATAATCCTGGGACAACCTACGTATCTCCATGTCCATTGCTGCAACACGTTGTTCAGCCATCTGCTGATCCGCAAAAGTGTTTTTCAGCTTATCAACCTTTATCACACGAGGGATCACAGGTTAGAACCAAAGCTCTGTTTTCAATTAAGAGCACCCACAGATTCTTCCGTTGCAGAGTCTCCTAGAATCTCTTCAGGAAGAGAAAAATGACTGCCGCTGCAGGGGAGTTTTCAGGGGACTATGAATAAACTGACTGAGAAAAGCCACAACAGGATTACAAAACACAACTGCGAGAGGATATGATTGTGCTGCACAACAGTATTTTACAATTAAGTGATGATAATAATAAATTGTACCAGCTCTTCTCTGGTAGAATCTAGTTGAGTTATAAGAGTTTTCAATTGTTCAACGTCTCTTTCAGCAGTTTCCAATCGACGCCTGCAAACAACTTTTAATTGTGAGAAGATGGATTTAGAAACACTTAAAGATGTTGTGAACAAGCTCCAGCTTGGAAGAGACCTCAATCTTCTAATATATATTTGAAGAAAATCCTACTTCAAAAATTGTCTAACTAATTACATTACACGGAATAAACGGTGAGTTTAACTCGTTGACTTGAAGAAAACTCAGTACATGCACAATTGTAATTGTGAAGTCGTGTCGGCAACTTTCAAAGAGCTTTCCTCACGACTTCGACTGCACCCTGAATGATCTCCTTGAAGCTGTGAATACTTCCAGCGAATCTCCTCCAACTCTCGTCTGCAGTGAGACATTTGTCGATGTTGGGAATTATAACACAAAATGAAGATGAGAAATTTCACTCAATCACAAAAAATTGGCTCTCCATATTGAAACCAAATAGGTAGTAGGGAAGGAATAGACAAGAATTCAGATACAGCAGTTAATAGACAGAAATTTACACCAAAGAGTTGCACTTTTTTTGGACTTCTTGCTCAGCTGTAATACGTGCCTCTGTCTCCTGCGAAGTCTTTAGGAAACCCAATCACTCGATTTGTTAAATCGATGAATCAGCACTAATGCTAACCAACATCAGATGCAGTAATTAGTGACATTATTGATTACATATGTCACTTGCTGATAACACGTCAGATAGTGAACTTAGTAAACAACAGCCCTGCATATGAAGATTACATGCAATCCGTAAAAATTCTTCACTCACTTCCTGATCTTCTCCAGTGTTGAGGATGACTCCAGGTAAGAGTTTCCTTACCTTCACTGTACCAAGAACGGCCATATTTGACCAATAATTGTCTCACTCAAGGACCTCAGTTGATTAACTTTGATCCATTTTAGATGTAAGGAAATCCGTAGATGATAGAATTTCAGGTTTACCCGATCCCGTTCCACGGTTCGAGCTGCAAGTGCAGAGGTCAGCTGGGCCATGCTTCCATCAATTTCCTGCACTTTCAGAGGTACAATTAATGAAATATTGGTTCCACTTCCGAATATGGAAACAGTGGTGGAATGTTGTAACAAGCTATTAATTGAGGTTAAGCAGACAGGTCTTACTCGAATTAAAGTGGCTAGCTGATTGCATTCGAGTTGACTGGCTGCTAGTGCTTCCTCTCCCGCCACCTGCTTATTCAATGAGTTTAAACGATTGAATGTTGAACTCTTAATGACTGCATAAATTCTCTGGTCATAAAAGCTGCTGCTTCAAATAGTGCCTTCCAATTCAGTCTCTAATCTCTTTACATTCAATATGCATGGTGTAAGTGATCACAAAAAAGGGTACTTCTAACGAATTGTTTTACCTTCTCATCTGTAATGAATCCCAGTTGTTCATTTTTTTTGCTCAGTTCTGCACGGAGTGCTTCTACAGTTGTTTCATGGTCAACCATTGCGGATTCCAGGTCATCCAACTTAGCTTTCAATTGCTCAACCTGCAAATAAAAAATATAATTTACATTTCAGCAATAGATCGTACATCAATGCAGATTGAAGGATTTGTGAAACATTTCTGCAATTCACTTGATGGGTTTGATTTTGCTTTCGCAGCTACAAAAGTTTGTTGATGGCAGCATGCACCTTTTCCAAACTTCGTTGTATGGACTCCTTCCCTTTGATGGATAACATCATCTGAAAAAGGTCAAGGCTCGAATGAAGTCAATGAGAGATACGGACTTCAAACGAAATTGTTCTATGATCTCCAACAAAACTAAAAGTCGGTAGTTTCATTCTTGTAACCCCTATTTGATGCAAGAGATATATCAAGAATAAAATTATTGATTGAGGGCGTGACGTTTGAGTGTCTGAAGATCAAATATCAACATTCAATCATGTGCATTCGTGTGTGTATGTAGTTAAATTCCTTGTACTGATGTGATCACTCAAGTCTCGTCTAAATTATATACTAGATGAATCTCCAGTATGGACAAAATGATCCACCTCCAAGGCCTAATGATAAGTCCGTCACAAACGATTCTCTGACCAGGCACCATTTTCGAGCTATTCTGATACTAGTACACATACGTTACGGGCAGAGTACCTTTGTAAATCTTTGTTGATGAACTGCACTGCTCTTGTCCTCGTCCTGCTTTACATGATGTAAATTCTTCCAAGATAAATTTAATTTATACAAATCGTGGTCAGCTATATTACATGAATAGGAAGGCGAAATGCGAACGAGATATAGAAACAATAATCCCAAGTTCACATTTAAAAAGTCTACCTCTGTGGCATGCAATTTGAATGGCCAAGAAATATAATGTTGTGGGCAGTTCCATCACTTGGAAATAACAAGAAAAACGAGATTGTAGCTATCCGAATTCAAACAGTATGGACAGTGACCCATTTAAACAATATGCAAGGTAGATTTCAAAGCAGCCACAGTTCACTGCGAGATAGTAGTGAATACAAAGTTTGAAATATCTAGTTAACAGTCAATGAGTTAAGATGATGACAAACTGGAAAGCTGGGGCGTTCCAAATGCTTTCTCCTCATTTCCTCAGGAATAACTGCTAGAGCCATGATGCCTGAGGGAAAGTCCTGAACAAAGTTCCACCTGACCAGTGAGAAAGATGGAACGATGTGTTGAGCAAGGTCGGCCAGTAGATGGCCGTCAGTAACTTATGAAGCTAATATTTAGCGCCTATTAATAGGAACTTAGCTAGCCATCCTATTTTTGAGGACGAGAATCAATAATCCCCTTTCCAACCTAAAATATCGACATTCATGCTGATCTGAAAATAAGTATTGGGATTTACAAAAACGAAAAGGTAAGTTATACCTTGCTTAATTCATCCAATAAATTTCGTAGTTGCGTTCTTTCAGAATCGACAAGTCCCAGCTGTGTATCAAGGCCATTCATATCTTTGACCAACTCCTTCTGTAAATGAACATGATTTTCATTTCAGCAAGATTTTTGGCATTATCCTCGTCACAACAAACTAGTTTGAGTTAAATATGGTTGTATCCGCACCTCTTTCTGGTCTAGATTAGAAATGAAGCCTTTTATGCTGTTCACCTTCTGCTCCAAGTTGGACTCCCGCAATACATACTCTATGTGCTGCCTGCTTATTAATTCAATTGGCCCGAGTCACTAATTTGTGTTCAAGAGATGCAGTTCCATATTTTCATATTCAGGGTTACTGCTTCACTAAGACTACAAGTGATGTGTATTTTTGGTCATCAATCCAATAGTCAGTAAGAGTGATTCCATTACGTGGATTTGATACACTAGTTAACAGATAGAAATCAATGCAGAAGCCCCAATGAAATTTGATACGTTATGAACATGTCTGCATTTAGAACGTATAAGCGAACTGGTGGTGCATAATGAACACACTTGCAGGTAGGGTCTAATGTTGTATTGGGGAATGACAATCTGTTTTCTTCTTTTTCTTTCTCATGTATCTGCTCAAATCACATCTTTTGGGATCAGCATGCATTGATAATAATAACAAGTAGCACGGTTCACACCAATCTGAAAGAGAAGATGAACTGCTGCATTGGATTTTACAGTTGATTATGTAATCCATAAGGAGCAACATTAGTAATTTGGAATGATTGTCATATTTGACAACAACCTGTTGTAGAAATAGAAGCTCTGAAGCGATGCTTTCAAGGTCCGACCTCAAAAAGGAAATCCCCTTGCAGACAGACAAATGTTCCTTAGCCTCTGTGTACATCATACAGCAAATTTTAGAACTCCGAGGTGAGTAAGCAGCAGTAGCATTGATAATAGCTTGTATAACCGTCATACCCTGACTGACCATATATATATATATATATAGGAACGACACTGATATACTCCGATGACATACTACAGTAGAAGACCAGGTGAGAAGAAGTTTCCAATTTTTATTGCATTGATCAACCTTTTCCAATGTTATGAGACAAAGTGTTCTATGGGTGAATATAACCTAGTCTCATCTCCAAGGTTCAGTTTCGATGTCTCACCATTAAGTAGAGCTTTTCTGTTTGCAGATTGAAGTTCTTGAATTTCACGGTTCTTAGAGGAAATTTCCAGCTGTAATCATTGAAAGAAGTGCAACATAGTAAGCCAGGAATTTATTTTTGAATCAGAGATACATTAATCAGACGTTCACACGGTTCCGACTGCACGTTAATCAAGGTTTGAAATTACAGACTCAAACCTTTTACTCATAAAAACCAGAGACTTAAGATAAAAACTGTGCATAATTAGAGGAAGTTCTTTTAGAGTTCAAGTAGTATTGCCAAATTGCTCATTTACTCCCTCTGTCCTACTGGCAAATGGATTGCTAGATTTTTAGTAAGGTATGCAACGACTAGCAGGAAGCAAAGTCCTTTACTTCCAGGATCACATTTTACTGACCCGGCTGCCCCAGAAATTACACCTTAGTGGAAGCGAGCTGTTCTTGAAGAGCAGAATGTCCATCTTTCAGCTTCTGCAATTCTTCTTCCACCTTCTTACAACGAGTCTCTGCCACTCTGGCAGGGAAAGATATGCAGATACATGTTATATCGTCTGCCGCCAATTACGTTTGGATTTGCAAATAAAGCTAATCACCAAAACGAAAATCAATAGCACTGTGTCAACTAATCAGAATCAGCTTAATATTTCCACATTAACACAAATAGCTTTACCGAACATGCCAGAGGATGTGAGATTTCCTACCGAATTAGCTCTAGCTTTTTTTGATTCTCAACAGATGTTGATTTCGGCTTAGGAGCAGGTGGCGAAACAGGCTCCGCTGGTGGTTCTTCGAGCAACAGTTAGCAAGTAATTAGTGACAAGATTTTTTCTTCCATATCAGACTACAGATTACCGGCATGCGCGTCATAGAATGTCTCATTAATTCGCACTACAAAGTCTACCACCTTAATGTTTCAGATTTAAGAGAAATCTGAGGGATGTTTATTTTGTGCTTCTTGCACATCGGTTGACCTTAAATTGTATATGGTATAGGTTTCGACCTCATTAGCCTGAATTGCTTTTTAGCAACAACTTGCGACCATGAAGACAGAAGCATATTAGACGCTGACTTAATGCATACTGAATTACTAAATTGCAGCGACGACCAAAGTCTAGCCCGAAGATCTTGACAAAAAGACTTTCAATGTGCCCAACTTTCAGAGTGCTATTCATGTCACAGGGGAACTAATAGCTGAGTTTCAGCAATCTGTTCATCGCTCCTTGGTAAGTTGGCGAGAACAAGACTTTGAGCATCAATCGACACATCGGGACGCTCATGGTAACTCTGAACAAACAACAAAAGACCTTTGATAGAATTTACGACACAATGAGAAGTATAATACCCAGAGGCTTGGAAATGGTCATCTGCCCTGCTGCCTTCTCATCCACTGCAACATTGGTTATAATTGCAAACATCAGTACAAGAAGTTGTTCATCTGCTTTGAGGATATGATGATTTCATATCTAGAAGGAATTTATTTGTCAGTTGCACTCCACCTGGGGTATTTCAGTTCGAAAAGCATCAGAACATACCAGTAGGAGGAGCGAATGTTTGAAGATTGAGAGTTGATCTTAACGCTTGGTTCATAATCTCCAGCTCTTGAAGCTGATGTATGCTCTGTGCCCTCCATTGTTGGACCTGTTCCTCTCCAGTCTGACCAGACGGAGATACCTGACACTCTGCAACTATTTCTGGAGTAACTCTCTTCTCCACCTAGCACGTTCGATACATTACAATCTCTGCGAAGTAAATAAAGACCGCAAGATTACCATGTAACAAATTAAGAATACAAAATCTAACTCTTCACTGGAATCCGATTCACAGTACTATCCCTAAAATACTTTAGTGCAATGACAGTGTCTTTCAGCTCAATGCTAATTTGATCACATTGTTTCGATTAGAATAAGTGGCCAATTAAACACACATAGTTGAAGAGTATAACCACTGCATGCCTGCAAGGATTCACGTGTTCTGTTCCAATCGAAAAAACAGCTCAAGAGTTAGACAGAAGCTCTAAGCATGTGGAGCATCCCGTAAATATGATAAGGATGGTGTGTCTTACGCACTTGAGCGCGAAGCTCCGAATTTTCTCTCAGAAGACGTTGATTTTCACCCCGCAAACGATCCAGCAACTGCTTCTCAATATCACGTTCACCTGTGAGCGTGTTAACTTGATTTCTCAAGTCATGTGAGCATCCGTTCAGCTGAGTGAGATCATGCACTAGCCTTTCAATGAGCGATAGAGTTGCTGAATCCAACTTCTCAACTACTTTAGCGACGGGTTTCACTGCACTGATATCATATCCCCATCCTTGGAGCCTTGTTATCAGCGGCGCCAGATGGCTTGATCGATTAGATTTCAACATCTCTTCTCTTGATGGATGATATGTTGATGTTAAAAGATCGAAGAATCTTAATGACTGGTCAGAGATACATGAATTCTGTCTTCAAGATATGCCACCTAAGCTATGCCTGAATAATATGGAATGTACAAGCACTGAACACCTACGGACATTGTGACAGTACGGTTCATCAGAGCATTGAGGGAAAATAATTTCCCATGGCTCCGTCCAGCGAAGCAATTTCATGTTAGTTAGTTTGCGAAATAACGAGTCCGCGATAATTTGAGTTGAAACAACACCCCCAAGCCGCCATACCGCACTTCAACAGAAGCTTTGGCATGGAGTTTAGGCCACTCAGTCATTCTTTGCAGAATTGCACCAATATCCAGAGCATTAAAAAGTGGACTTTCCAGCTTTTACCACAGGATTTTAGGAGCTTTGAGAGATCTATAAAAATTATAGATTCTTTTCGATAGACCCGCACAAGAGAATATCAGAACAAGTCTGATCAGAACCACCTCCTCTACCAATCACATAGATCACCAACTTGATAGCCCGTTAACGACAGCAACAAGCTCTGTTTGTAGGTAATAAGAGATATTTATACTTCATTCTCCATTCCCAACCATGAGGACAATCATCTATCGTGGAGTAGGCAGCAAAACCGCATAAATCCTACACGAAGTAACAAGCCTCTTGATTCCGAGTAAGGTTCCATAAGAGATGGCAGAGTATAACAGCCTTGAACTTGATGAAAAGGAAGGGGTCGAATAAGTCGCACATAGGAATTCTAAGCACTGTCTGCTCAGGTAACCCGGTTAATATAAACATCCAGAAAGACCATAACATCTCGGGTGTCCAAACAAATCCTTTCCGGTAAATTAAGTCTGGAATATGCTCCATCTCGACAACTTACAGCCACCTCCTCCTCTTCCATATTTGCATAATTGAGCGACATTCTGCCATATATCAAGGACATCGAAATACCTCAGAAACCTAATTTCTTTCAAGAAAACCTCCGCATTCTATGCCCAAACTTCATCCGTCTATGACGCTGCGAAACAGATGTCAACAAGACATTTTGAGACCAAGTGCCCCTCGAAAAAATTTAGACAACCAAACAATCAAGCAGGCGATAGGAAGATACCATAAAACCTCCATAATCCTCACCCCTTACGCAACAATGGCCCCATCTATTACTCACGGACGGGTTCTAAAAGTGAGGGAAGCAACGGGAGTTGCAGCAAACTGAATGGCATCAAAGGTCTTTCACGTCGCCAGTTTGCAATCCTACAGAGAGCTTCCCGTATTCCTTAAAATAAATCTGAAATATTATCTGAAATTACGATACATCGACAAAGCGTCCGCAAGAAAATGCACGTCCAGAATCCGAACCAACGAGCGAAAGAAGCAGCCCGCTATTTAGAGCAAAACTTGCTGCACAGAAAACAGAATTTGAAGAAATTGGTACCGTTAGGAAGGTGAAAGAGAACCGCATCAACAGGAGCAGAAATAGACAGGAAATTGGCGGAGTTGGCTCATCGACGGCAAATCGAATGCGGTCGAGGCTTGCGGGAGGGGAGCGAAGAGCGCGGGAAAGGGGGGGGTTGTTGGTTTTCAACGTCCCCGGAACACACACCACTGTCTGCGTTGTCAGTTTGTCCCCTCGTATCGTCGCCTGGATCATCCCCTCGAACTGCCCCTCACTCTTTTCATGGCACCTCGGTATGCATCCCCAACTGGTCTTCTCAAGAGGATGACATCCATCCAACTCGAAAGCAACATTAGTGCGTGACTCGAACTATGGCATGTTTGGGCACCAAATAAGATTAGAAGTGAACTTCTACAATATTTAAAATAAATGTATTATCATTGACAATAAAATACGTTTGGAATGAAAAACTGAAATGATTGTGTGGAAAATAATAATATTCACACCTAATCGTTCTAATTCTGTTTTCGATGTGTATGTTATGAAGCAATATATGTGTACAAATAAAGATTTGGACTATGAATTGTAGGTACTCATACAAAAAACAATCATGTGATGAAGTTTCATTCTGAATTTTTAATATTCAGTTACAATTGTTAAAATGCCTCCCATATGAAGTCTACTTGAAGATATATATATATATATATATATATATATATACAAACAGTCTGTTTTAATTTTTTTAAATGATTATAGTTTTAAAATATTATGGTTTTAAATAATTTTAAATTTCAAATAAATAAATATGTATTTATTTATTTAGTTATTCATACACATATAATTATTAACATATGTACATCTATTTATTTATTTACTTACTTTAATAATAATTTTATTTACAACCATGCTTGATTCAACCATTAACACATTTGCTATAATAAATTACATATTTTGTATTGCTTTTGATACTCAAGTAAAAGCACATGTGTATTTTAAATCTATCTTAAATTTTTATTATACCGTGTTATCTCATGTTTTTTTTATTAAAAATTATTAACATGTCAGAGAGAAGTTTAGTCTAACACTTTGGGTTTTCCAAGAAAAAATGAATGTGTATTAATTTAAATGAGCTTCTAAATCTCATCATCTAAAATACCCAAAATCAAAGAATCAACAAATAAGTTAATAAAAAATCATGAGATTTTTTTACTTATATACTTGTAGAGATGTTAAATTCAAAGTTCAAAAATGCTAAAGTATCCATCTATGTAATACGTTTTTTTTTGGAAAAAACCACAAAATATGTAAAATAAAATGAAATGAAATTTTACTGCAAACACATCAATAAATGTGAAGGAATGGTCTTGTGAATGATTCACCTAAGAATATCAGATAGTTTTAAATTTATCAATCTGAATCAAGAAGTGCTCCTTTTACATCATTTTTATGATATTCTTGAAACAAGTTTCTCACAAAATTTCCAATATTAATTGCTCTTCATGATTCTTTTTCCAGTAGATGCACTTCAGTGCCAAACTAAAAGAATTGTTGTGAAGGTTGGAATAATACAATGACTTTCAAGCTATAAATTTAGCTAGAAGATACTTTTGGACCAATCAAGACAAAATAAAGAGAAAATCAAAAGTTAAAATAAATGAAAATTTAATAATAGTTTAAGGAATTGATTGATCACATGAAATAGCTTAGGCAATTAAAATTGTCCACATACATACAAATAATGCAAACAGAAAATTGGATATTGACAAAATATTTAATTAAAAATTCAAAAAACTACTTTCATTAACTTTGTACATGTTGTTTAAACCTATCATCTAATTTTTGTTGAATTGTAAAAAATGTATTTTTCACCAAATCAGTTTCAGCTTGTTTTGTACTAAATATCAGTTTGTGTCATTAACCTTTTCTTTCTTTCTTTCTTTCCTTTTTTTTTTTTTTTTTTTTTTTTTTTCTCTCTCTCTCTCTCTCTCTCATAAGATGATTTTCATGTGATAAATAATTCACACATTGATTGATTATCGTTGAAAGAGTATGTGTATCTATATGTGCAAATGTGTATATGTGTGTGAATATGTGTATATGTATATATAAGTATTTTTGTATTGTCATACAGTGTTAAGAGTTTTGAAGGAATTTATGAAGAGCACAAGCAGATTTGCTATGGAAGTATGCAATTGATAAATTAAGAAAAAGTTAGATTATAAAGTCTTTCTGTGAGGAAAAATCCCACACTTGGATAGTCATTCATATTGCAGAGAACTTCTAATTATTTTTAATTAACTGAAACATTGTCTTATAGCTTTTTAACATCAAAATCAATTTAAAGATTTTCATTAGAATTCTTAATTTCCCTATTTCCCTCATGATTGATCCTTATCATGTATATAAATAATTTTGTGTTTGTTTTGTTTAGCTTTCTGTTCAAGTTGAATTAATATCATGAGCTCATGCATGTTACAGAAAAACCTGTAAACTCCACTCCTTTTCATGGTTGAATTGAAGGCCTAGTACCATCCTGCACAATTTTCTGCTTGAGATTTAAATATGATATTATTAATTCACTACTAAAATGTGATATTCCCCTTATAATTCACTACTAAAATTTTGATTTTACATCATGCTTAAAAGGCCCTTCACATGTCACTTGTTTATCAACTTTGTTGATTTATATAAATTTTAAAGTAATAATAAAATGTAGTAAGATGTAAGTGCAAATATAGAAAGATAGAAAGATAATCATGAAGAAATGATTTTAGGGTGCAAATAGTTTTATTTCATTCACCACTTAAATACATTATTATAAAATAACACAATAATGAATTTTACCTTCAAGCCTCATAGGCCTCTTTCACATTCATATTTATACAAACTTTAAACTTTAACTAGTATTTTATTATTCTTTTTATTATTTTTTTGATATTGTTGGATCTTTGATCTATAGAATCTCAATAAAATATATTCACATTTAATGACTTATTGGTCAAATTTTTTCTTTGGTAAAACTTAATTTCATTTTCAACAATAGATTCATTATATCCCTCATGCTTGTAGAAAAAAGACTTCTTGCATTCAATTGTGAACTTAATTTACTTGCTTCTCTCAATTGCATGACTTCTTGGCATAGAGTTTGAACTTCATTGTTGACTTTTTCTATAGGCATAGAAATAATACCTCTATAATTCATATTAAAAATATATGAGATTTTGATCCCAAGAATATTAACAAGCTTATGAGCTTATCAATATTCTATTATCATGTTTGCTATAAGTAACATCTATGATTTTTCTTTCCATAGACGATTCAAATAAATTCACAAGTCAAATTAGAGGAAGATAATCCACAACCTCTAATATCAAATGAAAATTTCTACAAAGAGATGAAATCCACTCTTTTTAAGAAAAATAATTAGTGTTTAAAAAAATAAAAGTTAGTTTAAAGGTAGATATTTTATAACCTTCAAAACACAATAATAGAAGTGGACTAATCTACTCATTTTTAAAACAAAACAAGAATAAGAAATCAGCTCTTTTGTCAAATTATTAAGGCCATGAATCTCAAAAAACTAAAAGATCAATACATTCTTGTGTTACTTGAAAAGATAAAAGAATCACTCAAAGATGGTATAATATTAAATTAATTTAGCTATTGCCAAGATAAGAAAGCTAGAAAGTCTTGAAACAAGACTAAGAACTAAAAAGATATTGACAAGAGTAAATAAGGCTTCACTCTTGCTTCCATATATATACTATCTAACTAAGAGCTATGTAGCAACATTCTATAAGACCTTTAAATTTTTGTCCAATTTTCAAGACATGTGTCATAACTTACAAGTTAAGTTTTTTTTTATGCACATTGTTATATTACATATTGCTTTGTTTAGAAATGCACTAGGCACATGGCTATGGAAGATGAAGTTGTGTTTTATAAGTATATGAGAAATCCTAATAGGTTTTACCCATATAAAGAAAATATAATTTAAACTTTAATTCAAAAGTACTTAAATCCAATACAAAGTATTCAAAAAGACTCTTCTTAGTAACCTCAAATATATACAAATTCCAAATATATTATTACTTTTATAATTAAGTAATTTTAATTTCTCTTTAAAAGCCCTAACTCTAGTTCATGAGCTCCAATAAGCTGTAACTCCTAATTTTGATTGTCTACTTGGTGCAAAAAAATTCATACAAATGCTACTATAAGTCTTCTATATGCTCAAAAAAATTTAGTCTGATTCAACTTACTAATTGTGAGAAAACATCCAAAAAACTACATTGATGTTACTTGGCCACCAATTCGAAAGTTGATTTAGATGTTCGAGTAGCAATTTCTCCTTTTTTAATTATCAAATTTAGTTTAAAATTGGTGTATAGCTTAATCTTTAAGTTCTCTAATACTATGCCAAATTTCATCTTATTTTGACTAAAAAATCTTTGGATATCATAGAAATCTTATCTAACTCTAAACTATCAACTTCTGATATCATCTCATACCAAAAATCAAATATCTTCCAATTGCACTATTAGATTCCTAAAAAAAATATTATACACACTAAGGACACCAAATTAACCAAGTACTATCAAATTTTTAACTATAGACGTGATATTAATTACATGAATTAGTCAAGAGTGCTAGCCCTAATTATATTGCATAAATCCAAAATCAATACAAACCTTGACTTTAAACATCAATTGCAAAGTCATCCCAAACTCTATGAAAATTAATTTTATATCTTTAGAATGAGCTTAAAATTAACTCTCCAGTCTTAATTGCCAATCTCCAAGTACCTTCCATAGTTTGCCCTAAACTATTGTTTTAGTGAGTAGAGGTCTAATTTCAACCTTGTCTCAATAACAGTCAACCCTCAAGTATCAATCCAACTTATCCCAAGGATTTTTTAGCCCGACTCTATCTTCAACTTAATCATAGTATCAATCATATTAATTATTTATCTCTTCTATCTTATTTTCATCAACTTATGGCCTTTCTAAGGTAGTAAAAGAGTTTCTACAACCTAGAAGATAAAATTACTAACCAACCTTTAATCTACTAGCTATTAAGACAAGAAAATAAACTAAAAAGCTTTTATAAAAAGCCATATTTAAATATTTTAAATTATTATTGAACCAAGATGATTAGATATTAATTATAAATCCAT